GCTGGAAATGTACATATTATTGTTTTCATTTACCTGATGAGGGAAGTGAGGGTCCCAGAGATTAAGTAACTTATTCAAGATACCATAGATAGAATTTGAACCCAGGTCAGACTATGTCAAACTAGGGCACTGTATTATAAGGGGATGGTGAAAGACCAAGTGTCAGGAGACAACAACAAAAAAACTCCAAGAATTTAAAGTTTAATGTGAAGCTCTGTTGGTCTGATTTGGAGGTGTGGGTGGTTTGGGGGAGTAATCAAGAGATAAGCCTAGGGGAGGGTGGGGTTCTACTTTGGAGGGCTTGGAACTGCTGGCTCTGATCAAAGGGGCCCTCCAGTGACCAGTAGACTATGTTAGGTTCACTGTGGGAGTTCCCAGAACTCAGGACTATGTTGAAGAGTCATAGGCACTCAATAGATAAGAAAGGAAGGGAGGAAAAAAGGGAAGAAGTGGGGAGGGAGGGAAGAAGGGAGATCAGGGAGGAGGAGGGCAGAAGGAATTATTAAACTTTATTCCCCTGAGGAATGATTTGCTGAATGATGTTTGGGACATCCAGTCTTGATATAAATGTGTAGAATGGCATGTGATTGGTGGAGCCTAGAGGCAGAATTAAATGACTGAAAGAACATCAAATTTAAACTATATATGTTCACATTTGGAGTTAGAGAATTTTTGAATCATTCTCCATACATGGTTGTTGTGCAGTTTTTTTGTGGTTGTAGTGGTGGTGGTGGTGGTGGTGGTGGTGGTGGTTGTTTTTGCTGTCTTAACAATTTTATCTGAATTCATGCTTCCTAAAACAACGTTCTATCTGGTTAGGATTCTGTCTCACCTGGATAAATAATGTGAAGTGACTAGAGATGAAGTGCTTAATTGCTTGTTTAATGTTTTCAATATATACACAGTTGGGACTGCCTTGATGCTACTCAGCCTTAAAATTCACTCTTTCAAACCTTTCTCCTAATAAATGCCAGGTTATTCTGGTAATCAGGGATGGTTATTGTGATAATGGCCAACTGCACACGAGTCGTTAGGCTGTCAGGGTTCAGGGCTTTATGTGATCAGTCAGAAATTTGAGGAAAATAAATTTGAATTTCACTTTGGCCCCTGGGGCCAGACGAGTGCCTGGTGCTTGATAGATATTTTCCATGTGAATAAATGAGTATAACAGTTGATCAGACCACTTAAACTTGACCTGGCTGTTAGATGGGAATAGCAATGAGTCAGAATCACTTAATGACTCACCATAATTTTCTCAAATTAATGTC